TCTCTATGTCTGATAGCTCCTGACTGGAGTCGAGATATCTGTTGGGCAATTCTTGAATTGACTTTTCCTCCCGGGGAAAAGTCAGGGTTTGATTTATTTGAATGCCGCTTAGATTTTCCTTTATCAGCCACATTGATGGTGACTTCAGGGAATTCATCCTCTTGAATAGCAAATTTCTTGCTGAAACATCTCGGCCTAGGCTTTGACATTTCGGTGAAAAGCCTCTGAAATACTGAGACTCTTTGCGGGATGACTTCTCGTTTGGCGTAGTTATATTCCAACAATGCTGCTTTAATGAGTCGCGCACAGGAACAATAAGAGTTTATTTCTCAAATAGTTCTTTTTCGAAATTTATTCAAACCCACAGCTTGATAGTACGATTCATTGGTATGATTGCCGGAAAATCCTATCGTCTGTTGGTATGACCTCCCAGGCATAACAATGTCTTTTGACGAACACATCTTCTTCTGAGGGTGTAAAACCTTGTTGGCATTCTCAGGACAAATTATTGTTGTCTTTGAGTGATCCAAGGTTATGTCAGGAGTCACACGTTTAGAACCACTCCCTTACGGGTGCGGAGTCTTAACGGGCTCCAAATGCTGATTTTGCACAACTCCAGACTTCGGAATCCAAACTTTGTAGAATTTTGGTGGTTCTTTGGCCACCGTTTTCTTCTTTCCTTCTCGTCTTTGTTGTAAAAGAGCACGGGCACGAGCGGTGTTTGCCATACGCTTTTGTATGTGTTCTTTGAGGGTCGAACGGGCCCTTTTGACAAGAGTCCATTCCTCCGATGTAAATTTTGCTGAGATGTGAGTGATTTGACGTTGAGGCGACTGAACCACTTGATGTTTCCTTGATTCTAAGTCCGCATAGTAACGAACTCCATCGGTTTGTTCCAAGGCCTTAGCCAATTGATGAGCGCGGCGTTGGCGTCGCCTCTGACGAGCCCTCTTCGTCAGAGTTGGCAAACTTCGATCGAACAACTCCTTAATTAGGGTGGAATCATTATGAGCAGAGCTTCCGGCTTTGGGGGTCGCCGGGATAATGTTGCGAGGCAAGGCCTCAATAACGATTGGGCGAGAGTCTTCACTTTTAGCCTTCTTTGGCGTATAAGCCTTCTTCAATGATGGGATCCTCTTGTACTTACGAGATAATGAAGATCTTGAAGAGGATGATGAGATATATTCTTCAAACTTGATTTGGTCAAACTCGTATTCAACCGTGGATTTAACTGGAATCTTGATCGACTGCGACACGACGGTCTTGACAGCGAGACCGTTGGCTCCCACTGTGGTCACCAGTTTGTTTTCGTCGAAAGTTGCTTTCATTGTAGATTCCATTGAAACTTAATTTGTTTACAGAGAATTATAACGAAAAATAACGAAAATACAACTCTCTTGGAAAATAACACAGAAATTATTTATCAACTCCTGCTTTGTGGGACTTTGCCTGTGCCGGGAGTACTTTGGCTCGTTGACCACCGATTCACAGATCGTGAGGGTGTTTAGAGATCTTTCCTTCGTTTATCGAAGTAAAGATTTGAAAGCGAATATCTTATCGATGTAAGATGTTCACTCTTCCAAAGATCAAGTCTGAGCTTAGATCTCTAGGAATCACCAAATGATGTTTGTCAAAGGGTGAAAGTTCCCTCTTTCTTCCTCAAAATCACCAAAAGCTCAAGTCTCTTCTGCTCCAAAATGCTCTTTGTCCTTTATTTTGTACCTAGGGAGGTATTTATAGGGGTAGGAATGCACAACAGTAGAAATGGGGGCAAAACAACTGACCAAGTAACTGTTCTTTGGCCGCTGCAGTCGACACTGCCGCGGCTATTGGCGCGGCAGTATGGACTGCCGCGGCCAAAGAGGCAGTTACCAGCACGTTTCATCGTGCTTGAAACCGTTCTCCCACGACCTTTAACCACCTTTTTCGTGGTTTAACTGCTTGTCCACGTCAGCACACGTCCTATCTCTGATATACCGCCACGTGGACTTCAAATAATCATCATATAACTGCCTTGTAACCAACATAGCACGCCCTATAATAGCCGCTGCACCTTATGCTATCGTGCCTTAGCCGCGGCACGATATGCTGTCGCGCCTTAGCCGCGGCACCATATGCTGTCGCGCCATGGCCGCGGCATAATATGCTGCATATGCTGCCGCTCCATGGCCGCGACATCATGAGCTGCCGTGCCTGAGCCGCGACACCAAGCGCTATTTGTTGGTGTGTACATGTTGTCTCACTTCCCTTGCATGATTCCCCCTGATTAAGAGAATGACGTTTATCGCCTTTTCTTTGTCTTGAGTAGTATTTGGATGTCTGTAAGCATTTTTTGACGCCTACACCGAGCTCATGGCAGTTTGAGATACTTCATTGGAGAGGAAACATTAGGGCGATGAGATGAGATGACAGTTTCGATGGGTCATTCCTTTCTAGAGGGGGATCGGCGTTTGATATCGAGCATTGGCATTGGTGTGCTGGCTTCGACATGTTTGGGTCATCTTATGCATAGGTCGCCGACTGCTGCATTAGGAGTTATTGGATCTGGGGGAGCTGCTTCATATTTTGGTTGGCGTCGGATATTTGGTTACCCAACATTTGTTCACATCGAGGATGTGAGATTTGATCCGATTACGCGTTTGGGATTCGGAGGCTCATTTGATTATCGTTTGGGAGCTTCTGATTTTGTTCTGAACAGGAATGTCACTTTTGACTCTCAGCAGGTGGAGAGTGTTGATCAGGTCATTTGGATATCGTAGCAGGTGAAGGGTGATCCCACTCCATATTGGGTGGAGTTTACTCCACATACTTCAGATCATACTGCATCGTTTGAGATTCCAGCTGAGGTGACACAGATTGGGAATCGTGTTGATTTGGATACAAATGATAGGTTGATTGATTCGAGTGCAGCTGATAGATGTAGTCTGGATATAGCCATTGGTTCATCTCAGGTGGAGATGTTTGGATTGTTTCAGTTTGAGGCCATTGGAGGTGCTATCAGCCGTAGACTTGATCGTGATGTTGGAGAAGGGTTACGAACTCTTCTAGTGGATTGAGGTTTTTGGAGGCCGTTTTGGTGAACTACGTGAATGCTTGATTCATTGTGCAAGAGGATACGTAGGCAGTCAGTTTTATGATGCAGCCGGTTTGGTGAGTTGATACCGACATTTGGAGTTTGTTCGCATTCTCGTTTGGGTTCTCGACTTGTTGTAGATTGAGTCCGTTGTCGTGGATTTGTTCCACTTCGTACTGGACGTAACAAATGAGACGTTTGGTTGGTATTGGTGTCGGCTCAGTTATGGGAATACTTCGCCGAGGTGAAGAATTGTTGGATAGAGGATTCCTAATCTATTTTGGTAACATGAGGTTATTAGGATTTCTATTCTATTTTGGTAATAGGTTATTAGGATTCCTAATTTGTTTTGGCTTTTGGTTTAGAATTCTTAGTATGTTTATGATTTTAGGATTTCTATATATATGGAACAATTGGAAGAGAGAATTGAGAAGAAAATTAGGGATATTTGGAGCACAGAAAAGAGGTATTTTCTGAGCTATTTGTTTAGGGTTTTGTTTGGAGAGATTAAGAGCTTGTTGGTGAGATTAGTTTGTTCCTTCGAGAGATTTGTAATCTCAGTTTGTACTCTTTCTCTATTAGTGAAAACCCCATCCCCTTTCTTGCCCCGTGAAAATAGGCAACTTGCCGAACCACGTAAAACTATTGTGTTTGGATTTGTGTCGTTGTTTTGATTGTGTTTGGCCTTCTCTCTACGTTTGTTTGATTTGGTTCTCGAAGCACGCCCGTTTGATTGTCCCGCTTCCGCGCCGCGCACAACACGTACTTCCCGTATATCCAGAACAAATTCTATTAAATACGGATTTGCAATACTACTATTGGACCCAAAGCTACATCAACTTGACTTGAGAAAGAGATACATTCCTCCTGAAGTGATGCAGTAGATAAAAATAAAAATACGGGTTATTCCTATTTGAGTTCCATGCGTCCAACTTCCAAAATTTATGCTACAGAGACTGTCCGTTTATGTCAACAATCTGAAACTACAAAAAAAAAAAAAACATCTTCAAATTACGATTCTGAGCTCCTGGGGACTCCGAGTGACCAATGCTAGCTGCGGTGATGCACGCGTGCAGATTGCGGCTTTGGTGCCAGCGTGCCTACAGGGCTCATCCTTGCACATGCACCTGGACGTGTCTGTAAGAGTGTCTCACAGTTCAGTCTACTTCTTTCCTCAAGAGACAGTGAACTACACATTCCAATAATTATACAACCAATCTTTACTTTTATGTCTCTTTTCAATATTAAGAGTGGACATCCGTAATAAGCCAAAAGGAAAATGCACCCGGAATATAGTAACAAGAAAAGACAGTGATTAACAATAATGCTACAACAAGATGGACAGACCTACTAAAAATTTTCCCATTTTTGATTTATTAATTCATAAAATCCCATCAGTTCCTTCCCATTTTATTATTTAAGGCTATATATGTACTCCCCGGCCACCTAATTTACATAAATCTAGTTCTAACTTTGAATCTTTACTAATAATTAACTATACAGCATATATAATGTTTCTTGTAGAGATACCTTTCTACCTAAATAACACCTTAATCTCATATAACTTTTATCATTTCCTAAGTGTAAAAGGTCGAAATATCCGGAGAGACCTCAAAGATGTGCTCAACAGATGGAGAAAAGGGCTAAAAGTGGACCAAAACTTTCAACAAAATATGAGGTAGGAAGCTCAATACCGGGTATTGCATTACATGTGTATGTAGATTGTAGCGTCTTGACGAATGCTTAACTCAGTCCAACAGTTTGGAGCATCGGGGCATCTAAGACAGGAATCACCATACAATTCAATCATACTCTATTGGATCAAGCACTTGCAAGAGAAGAATCGTGCGATAAAAACAAACAGGATGACAATGTTAAAGCCAAATTAAAAAAACATGCTGATTTTTTCTTTGTTCGTGCAGAAGAATCATGCCTTGAAGATTAATAGAAGATCATGGACAGCATCATAGATGTTTACATGAAGATGAGCTAACTACAACTGCATCTAGCAGCACAAAAAGATCTGAAGAAACCTCACCTAGAAAGTTATGTCAGTTTACAAGATTGCTAAAGCACAAAAAGAATGTTTACGATTAGCATACGCAGGCTTGTGACATCCTTTGCTGAGACACGATCAGGAGCTAGCACCAACCCTAGCAGGAAAATGAGGTGTGGATGTGCCCGGTTCCTTTGATGTACTCAGCTTTCCTTTTGGTCCTCGAATCTTGTCGATTTCTTTTTGCTCGGATTTATGTCTTGCAGCAGCAAGCTGGTTCATAAAGCTTCTCTTGTGCGCGAGCCCTCTTCTTTTCCACCTTAACCTAACGTAAATGAGCATAAATGATTATGAACTTCAGCATTAAGAATTGCGTAAATTTTTTATCTAGCCCTCTTGACTGAATACAAACTACTGAGTCACTGACTGCTCCTTTCTATAACCTACTGTGCAATTTCAGATTTCTCATTTTACAATGAGGATATGCCCTTTATTGCCATCTCAATTTGTTTTTTGTCCTTGTTCATGTATTTTTGATATGACATCGACAGCCGCTGTGGATGGATTAATATGGAAAATTAGTTGGCCCTTCACCTTAAGAATAAACTGCAAAGAAACACTGTATAATCATACAACAGAAAATAATCCTATAAGAAATGCTGTGAAGGTAGATCCGTATGGTTTGATGGCGCACGTTCAATTAGAGTGGAACTTTGTTATTGAGATGCATTAAATTGTTAGATTAAAATTTTTTGCCCTCGACACCGCTTTTTTTAGTAAGATACTCCAACAGCGGAACTTGATTGTGCACACATGCGGCTCATTTTCCCTGCAGAGAATGTGTATAACTGTTGGATGCTCAGTGTTCAGCAATGTGTCAGTGTTCTCCCTTAATGGAGATCATAGAGTGTGATCCATAATAAGACACATTTGAATCCATCCTTACACCAGTGAATGTAATAACATGCAAATATATGTGCAAAAGTAAATCACTTTAGAAATCAATATATGATACCTAAAATTTCCTCATTTCAGCTTCAGTTTTCGCCTTTCCATGATTTTCCCATGGCCTTGGATTTTGATCTCCTCCTGTTTAAACCTGAAAACATGTAGCAACATTACAGCTGAGATTTGACTTAATACATGACATATATGATACTCTTATATATAGAAAGTGTAGGACATAAACCTAGCCAAATACTTGGCTTTCTCCGGTGTCCTTCCAAACTTCTGCACAGGCATCAGTCACATTTTTACCTAGCTACACCACAGAAGCAATTCTACTGCTCTCCTCTTCTTTACCAGCCGTCCCCCCCCAGCCGATGCAGCGATACCCATCCTACCCAATTGTTGTCCAAGAACCATTAGCTCTCTCCTGCGTGCTCTCCTTTTTTTAATCCCGAGGCTCCAAGCTGACTCGTTTACATGTGAAGGTTGGTCCAGTTCTTGCGGGGGATAATGAACGAGAACCTGGACTGCGCGTAGGTGATGTAAATCTAGTAGGAGTTTCTGTCCGTGATACTTCAGGGCTAACCACAGGAATCATTTCTGTACCCACATCTCTCATGGATACAGACATACCTGTCGATGGTGGCGCAACAAATGTTATTGCACTTCACAGAGATGTTAAAAAAGGTACTACGATTATTGAGAATAACTGCATAAATTTAAAAACATTTTAAAATGTTATAATTATGATCCAAAATGCAAGTAAAACAAATCTGAATGACTAAAACACACAAACCCACGAGCTAAATCACTGATAATAACTAGGTACGCATCAAATGAAATGCTACAAAATATATGTAGAGAAGAAGTTATGATGACATTCATATCTGTGTTTTGTAGGTAATCTTGACTTCTCCCCAGAGAGGGACAGTCAACTTTTATCAGTAGGACCAAATATGCACAACTTTACAATCTTTCTAGTTCGCCTAATGTACTAGTTACTCTAATAATTTACGACCAAGCACGAAATTAAGTAAGGAATTCATGACATAAAAGGAAATCAAGAGACAAAACTTTCACCCTCAAGAAACTTATGATTGTTAAGATGATCCGCTGTTTGATATATGTAGCTTAGATCAACATCTGTTCAATGAATGATAATTCAGTTTCCATTCCTTGCTGCGAACAAATGACCGCAAGAAGCATCCAAAAGTTATACAGTTTTCCCTAAAGAAAACAGATCACATATTTTCATAATTAGTATTCTAGTGTATGTAATGCGTGCATGACACGGTATATTTTTGCATAATAATTTTTTTTTTGGTCAAAACCCTAATAGTTGACGCTAACACAAATAAGTGTATAAAAACTAACTATAAAACATGACCAAAGTGTACGGTAATGCACGGATTGATAAAGTTCTAGGCATAAATTTTTTTCCCCACGCTACATATGAGTCGATCAAGTTTGCATAGTCCGGTTGGTGCAGCACGTTTCATATACCTGTTTGGATGGACGGAATGATAAATTTTCAAATTTGTGGACCATATATGGTAGTATACCAAACATGTGACAAAAGCAAAAACAATTGATAGATATTACATATTTATTGTTACCATTGTGTGCATGAGGAAACTATGAATGGGTTTTGATTTAGGTTTTTTGCCTTTAAACCCAAAGTTATACCCACATTTATTTTTAGATCCACTTATATCTTTACCTATACACGCAAGTTACTTTTTCTTTTTAACTTTTAGGCCCAAAACATCAAAGCCACCATATTTCCATACAATATTTAAAATAAAAGTTAAAACACCAAAATACTCTTGTCTTCTTCTTCTTCTTCCTCCTCTCTTAAGCCATAACGCATTCTCACTCATTCTTCTTCTTCTCCTCACTCTCTCCATTTTCACCACCTCTTCTTTTAGGCCTTCCTGTTGGGGATTTTACTCTCCCCGCCTACTACAATCTGCGTAACTCGGAAGTCAACCCACAGTCAACAAGATAGAAAATAATCACAATCAAGAAGAATGAATACCAAGATTTACGTGGTTCGGTCGACCAACTTCGACCTACATTCATGAGGCAACAATACAGAAAATCCATTATGTATCAGGGAGAACTATAAGAGGAATCACTCAATTCTCATCTCTTAATCTCTTAATCTCACATACATAATTAACTCTCATATTCTCTCAAAAACTCACTCCTTATAATTTTTTGACGGACAAATACTTCGAAACCCTATCCCATTATTATAATCTTTTACACGGTCAATACGAAATCATCGCCTCTCACACAATATTCTTGAATTAAGCTACGTCTTCTGGTAACCCTAGATTACAAGAATATTGGCTCTTTCTCCTCTCCTTTTTCCCCTCAGATAATAGAAGAATATATATAAGGAAACCAAAACCCTACCTCTACTCAAACTTTCTAATTAGAATAGGATACAAACTCCTAATCATGATGGGACTTAATCTCCTAATCATGATAGATCTCTAATCATATCTAATTCTTATGAAGTTATACAAATAATCAAAAACAAAAACCTAACAATCTCCACCTTGGATTTGATTCCTAAGTCACCTAGAAGACCTACCATTGCCGTTTTGAAACTTTGCATCTCCTACTACCGCCTTCTATTTCTTTCACACTCTAATTAGAAGCATCCACACTCCTAATCGGAACATCCGCACTCCTACTAGGATACCCCATGACCCACGCTATCTTGCTTCACCGTGGCGCCTCCACCTCTCTTGTGCGCACCAAGAGATCTTCACTACCTCTAATATCATAAGCTAATCAACCATGCTTCTCCTCTCGACTTGAGACTGACAATAGCCTCCCCTTGCTTGTTATCTTTGTGCTCCACCTGCATTGTTTGTCTCAAACTATATCAGTGCACCTTTCCTACTCTACGCTATGAGTCGAATGCCTCTATCTCCTCTATCACTTGTGTGTCACTCGGTTGTGCTCGCTTGCAAGCTCCATCTAAGTTGGCACTACCTTCCTCAAGTCTATACACCAACCAACTCCTGCTCTTGTGATGATCCAAAATAATTGCATGCTGACAACTCTACTAATAAAATCACGTCTGATTCTCTACACTAGTCTCATCCCTCGCATACTCACTTACCTTATCTATCTTTAGATCCGTCTAGTCACCACCATCAGAACTTTTCAGCACTCTCTAACCAATCTGAGAAAAATCTAAAAGTTTGATCCTTCTATTGCATTCAGAACACTCCAAAACCTATAAATCAATCACTGGATCATAAAAGTCCACCTCCGATTCACTGTTCTACACTCCAATCAATCTCAGACGTTGATTTGAATTTAAACATAAATCCAGCACACCAAACATGATAACCACCAAAAATTGGATCCTAGTGCTCCCTTTTCTCTTTCCCATATGAATTGGTAGTTTGGTACTCATGTGACCATCCTACACATATTCGCGTGGACCCCACTTAATATCTTATTTCCTTCTTTCTTTTTTCGTTTTTAATTTTCCCCCCTTGTGAGCACTCACATGTCTTCACCTTCCCCTCTTCGTAATTTACATGAATAAGACTAGAGATCCAAAGCTCCTCCAACAGTGCTATTCAGAGTCCAGTCATAGCTGCTTCGGCACTGTTCACCAACGCTCTACACTAGTCGCGTCTCTTCTGTTTGTCATACATCCGCCGCCTCTTCATGACCATCGCCCACCGTCACCTTCAGACATCACCGCCAGAAACCACACCCTCCGCATCCGGCTGATCGGTGGCCGTAGATCCTCTCATCGGTGATCCCGGTCCTATTATTTTTCTTTCTCTTCATCTTGATTCTTGTAAAGCCGATCTTCAATCTCGCATGATGATGACTTCTATCTTGAAAACTCACTTCCGAATTCATCAACATCGCTTCGACCTATATCCATGGGGCAACAATATGAGAAATCCACTATGTATCAGGGAGAACTACAAGAAGAACCACTCAACTCTCGTCTCTCAATCTCTCAACCTCACATATATAATCAACTCTCATATTCTCTCTGAAACCCAATCCTTACAATCTTTTGGATGGACAAAGACTGTGAAACCATCTCCCAATATTATAATCTTTTACATGGTTAAAGGTTATGAAACCATCGTCTCTCACACAATATTCTTGAATCAGGCTACACCTTTTGCTAACCCTAGATTAAAAGAATATTGTCTCTCTCCTCTCCTTTTTCTCCTCCAATAATGGAAGAATATATATAGGTGTGTGATGTCTAAAAATCACTGCAGATAGCTAATCCCCATCAAACACTAATGATGAAAGTTATAACCTGACGACTTTCGCATCACCAATCCAATGATGAAAGTTACAATCAGATGACTTTTATGTTAATAGATGAATGCTACAATTAGAAGATTTTCACGTAGATCGAGAAAGGTCACAATCTGACAACCTTTACGGCAACCGATGAAAGCTCTGATCAACAGCCTTTACAAATAACAACAGGAGTTATAATCTAACGTCTCTCACATTTTAAGGAGCCAAGACGGAGATTATAATATGATGATCTTCGTAAATGCTCTAACAAAAGAGACTACAAGTCAATAGTCTCTTCAATTCAAGACGCAAAGCTCACATTTGCGTCTCAGAAGCTAGACGCACAACTCAGAACTGCATCCTAGATTTTAGACGCATAACTCATCTGTGTGTTCCAAGAATAAAACACAAGATCAACCTTGCGTTCCAGACTCAAAACGCATGGCTCACCACTGCGTTTTTTCAGCCTCAAGTGCAGAGCCCAACTCTGGGTCCCGGGTCCAAAACGCAAAGTTCGTGCCCAGAACGCAATTCTTGTGTTTGACTCGTTCAAACACGAGCTGAACGGTTTCAAAATCGTTCCCCCATGATTTGAAGGGATCACTCCCCCACTTAGGAGCGAATTAAGGAGGCACTTACACCCCTTAATCCCCTATAAATAGCTGAAAAATTAGCTTAAAAGAGTTCTTTTTAGAGTTCTTCGAATTAGGGGTGGATCTTTTTTTTTAGATCTTGAATTCTGAAAGATCAAAAAAAAGCGCTTTTGGAGAAGAAGATCGGCATTCATCCTTCAACAACCGAGAGCATCTTCAATTTCAGCAACAGAGAGCTTAGATCTTGGCTTGAAACCGATTTCGGTTAAACCAATTAACTCTTTTACAGAGTTTTAAACTCGCTCTGAGTTCTTAAACTCGTTAAGAGTTATTTTCAAACTTGCCACGCAAGTTCTCCTCAACGTCAACTGAGAGGAAGTTATTATGTTCCACGAGGTGAAGCGTTCGGATCGTCAACGGGATACAAGGATTTGAACTCCCATCGACACCGAGAAGAATCCAGATTAAACAAAGGGAAGGGTCTCCATCGATCCCTTCTCTCTTTTGTAATTCGGGAAACCGATTGAGAGGAATTGTAATTTCTTTTTCTAAGCTTGTTAGAGAGAGATTGCAAAGAGGAATTGTAATCCATTCTTTTTCTAAGTCTGTTAGAGAGAATAATACAAATTCAATTCTCTATTTTCTTCTTTCAATTTTTCTAACAAACAATAGGAAAATCTAAACCCTACCCTTAGCCAAACTTCCTAATTAGAATATGATACAAACTCCTAATCATGATGAGACCTAATTTTCTAATCATGATAGATCTCTAATCTTATTTAATTCTCATAAAGTTATATAAATAATCAAAAACACAATCCTAACACTACCTTCGTCTTCCCCAAAACACCTCACCTATTCTTCATCCATTTTCTCCAATCTCACATCTACTTTATCTCTCCTACATGCAAGAGTTCTACAGTGAAGTAAGTTGAATTTAATTACGCGCTAAAGTTTGAACGTGGGAGAATAGTTGTGGGTTTGTCAAGGGAGTTTGCTAGAAATTATATTGGATTTTTTTTTTTAATTTACCCTTGAACTAATTCGCAAGTTTTATATAAACGTTGAGGGTATTTTTGGGTTTTGAAAAATGAAACTCACAGCCAACAAGACATAAAGCCTCGCATCTCTTAATAATAAAAATAATAGATAATAATATTTATCTAGATCAATCACAGTGTTAGCAGCTGAGAATTGGATCAACATTCAAAGCACTTAAAAAAATTTGGGCTTTTTCGATATTAATCCCCCATATCTTCTATATCTTGGAGCTTGTCCCCAAAATCTTTATATTTTGATATTAGTCCCCGAAATCTCTGAGTATTTTGAAATTGGTCCTGCAAATTTTTTTAAGTGCTTTGAAATTAATCCTCTAAATCTTTCAGCCTGGTGCTAACCTGAGGGAATAATTTCAGAACGCTTGAATTTTTTTGGGGACTCATTCTTAAATATGAAGATGTGGGGGACTAGTACAAAATATGAAAGATTTGAGGGACTAATTTCAAAAAGTGCCTTTTTGTATTTAAGACTGTTTGATTTTGTGGAAATTTCACATTATCCCTTCTGAACTTTGGATTTTTTTTTTCCACATAATCCCTCTGAACTTTGTTTATATCTCATGTAATATTGTTGAACTTTGGCGTGTCTCACAAATCTTCTTAGCTTTAACATTTTCTCATCAAACCCCCTCTACTTGTGATTTGCAAATTACTACATGCATGTTTGTGAGAGGAAGAAAAAACTCTCAAGTTTGTCAAAAAGTTATTTTCTATATTTTTCCAATATTGTCCCTTAATTCTTTCCAATTGTAATTTCGGTCTTCAAGTCATTAAAATTGCTACTTCATTTCTCAAGTCCTATTAATGTTTCAAATTATTTCCTAAACTAAAGAAATCCTTAAACCTAACTAATTTCTAACCTGTTCTTTTCTTTTCTTTTATAACCCTGTCCGAAACTGAACCCCAAATCATAAGAGCTACATTCTATTTTACTTTCTTAGAGAGGAATGTGTACTATAAAATTTTTGTACATGTTCTTGCTTGCGATTACGTTGAATCTAGGTTGGATGGAAATAGTGTTGTAAATGTAAATAGAGCAATTAGATTTATAAATGCACTATTTACTTTGCAACATTATAATTAGGAAAGGTAAGTAAGACTTCCATTTTATAAAAAAAACACTTGTGATAAAAATGCTATAGCCAATTTGATGAGAGGAAAAACTACAATTTTTAAAAATCTAAAAAAATAAAAATAATTTCATCTTATCAAAATAAATCTTTTTAAATCCAGACAAAAAATTATTTGCACCCAAGTTTCTGTTTACATCAAATTATGTAGCTTTTGCACTAAGTAAATTTTCAACCAAACACTAAATTTACATTGAAAATGTATTTCCTGCAATACAATTGCAGATATCCAAATAATAAATTTAAAGTTAATTTTTTTGTAATAAATGTTGCGCGCAACTGTCATGCCCAGGGCCTACGGGTCCGTTGGCGCGTGCAAGTCGTGGGACCCACCGAGAACAACTCGATGCTGGCAAAAGTCCACTGCCAAAATGCTAGCACTAGTTGTTCTTGGACCTTGGACTTTTCTCTATTTACACTACTAATATTTCTTCACACTAGTCCATGTGGGGCTAAAGTGAGGTGGGGCTAAAGTGAGGGTGTCACAATCACCCCACCTTTACAAAGATGACGTCCTCGTCGTCAAACATGACAATTGGCACATCCAAGTGTCACTTGCCAGGTGATGTAGATTCTAGATGTGGTTCCTACGGGTTCTAGAGGTGGCTCCCACCACATCCACACTTCCAATGCACAGGGTAGCACTTAGTCATTCATAGCACTTAGTTTCACACTTCCGGCTGGTAACCTGCTCTGATACCATTTATCACGCTTTGGGTCCACGGGCCCGTCAGCGCGTGCAAGCCGTGGGATCCACCGAGAGCAACTCGATGTTGGCTAAAGTCCACTCCTAAAATGCTAGCACTAGTTGTTCTTGGGTCTTAGGCTATTCTCTATTTAAACCACTAATATTTCTTCACACTAGTCCATATGAGACTAAAATGAGGGTGTCATAGGAGCATTTGTTGCCGTACGTTTGCCACAATTTATTTTTACAGCAAACCAAAATATATAGGCCCTAAATGTTGGGTTTGGATCCATGCCCATGATGTGCTCAAGCACATTAGGGTTGGCTTAGTGGGCACAACTTAGTCAAGTTGGTTCAATCCTCTTGAGTTGGAGGTGAGGCTTGAGGGTGATCCTTCGAGTGCGTTGTGTAGTTTGAGTTGTGAGGTAAATCCCTTGTATGTTTCCCATTTGTTCCTATTGTTGTTGGGTCTCAAGATTTGTATAAGATTTGAGGGTTATTATATGGTGTACTCTTCTTTGTTGCTATAGTAGAAAGAGCTTTCTTCTTGTCCGTGGATGTATGCGCATTTTGCCTAACCACGTTATATTGGTTGTCTATTACAGTTGATTGTGTTGCTTTTAATTCCGCATTTATAGTCTTCTTTATATTTGATATTGGGCTTGGAATCCTAATCTTTAGTTTTCCAATACTAAATGCTTCTCTTAGCTGTTACTTTTGGGCTAAACTCTCTCCTTGATATGCTATATATTGATTCCCCACACGTGATATAAAGGAAATATCTGCAATATATATTTCACCGAACTTGATAACCAAGTTTGGAAATTGAGCCGAAGACCGTTGAAGTCATATTGGAACATCTTAATCGTCCGGATCACTCGTGATAAGATCTAATTCACCGAACGTAGCTAATCATTAGCCAAATGCTTACTTTCAACATATATTAACACTCAAATTTCCTCGTAGTTTACTATATTTAACTTCAAAAACTAGCTTGAATCTGACAAATTATAATAAGAAAAGATCAATTCTTTACCTTGTTTACTTCAATTCAAAGAAGGAATACTTAATGATTTTGATCTAATTTTAACGATGCACCAAAAAATATTAATCATTAGATTAACATAATTGACGACTTGTGCATGAAAGTTGACATCATCTTGTGCGCCATCAAGATAGAGAATCTAGATTACTTTTTTCTAATGTGCCTATAAAGAATTATCAGATTTAGAATAAATCATAACCTATTAGAGAGGGCATCAGTTGATAGGGTGTGCAACATTTCTCTATTATATAAAAGGTGGTGCTACAGGGACCCAAAAACATGGGACATGTGAGGTGTCGACTCCCTATCTCATGCTGCATTGTTCATAAAACAGTGTATCATGGGACATGAAACTGACACTTCACATGTCCCATGTAAGGTCTCATATTTTTTGATATCTAAAACATTTTTCTTATATAGAAGGCAAACACAGATACTAACAAATAACTCCTACCATGAGCTGTCACTGCATAACCCCGTCCACGTGTCAGTCAACTCCGTCAGAACTACTGCTAGACCGCCGTACACCCCTCCCGTGCACGAATTCCTTTCTTTCTCTCGACACAGACCTCTAACGATCCTCTCTCCACCCAGAGTCTGGCCGAAAACTAGGGTTTAAAACCCCCCAAAGTTCAAACTTTTTACCAAATCCCGGCGAGATTTCGATGGTATCGACAACGGCGGCGGCGGCGGCCGTGGACGCGATCAGGAGGCGTCCGAGCTGGTGGCAGGAGGTGAATGATTCGGCGATTTGGCAGGACCGAATTTTTCACGCGCTCGCTGCTCTCTTTGGACTCGTCTCGGCCGTTGCTCTGGTTGGTTTTTCTTTATTAATGTTCGTTGCTTAGATTACTGTGTGCTGGGGGTTTGCAGTTCGTAAAGATACTTCTTTTTATGTGTTCTGACCTAATTTAGAATATCATATGATCAATAGAAAGGACAAATTTTCAAACCCAACCTGTTTATCAAAAAAATTCCTAAAAAAAGACCCGTTTCAAACTTAATTTCAAAAACCAACTCAGTTGGGCTGAAACTGGGTCGGTTTTTGAAAAAAAAAAATTCCTAAACTTCACGGGAGTTGAAGTCCCAAGTTTTGTTATATAAAAAACTTCACGGGACTTCAACTCCCGTGAAGTTTGGGAACTTTTTTTTCAAAAACCGACCCAGTTTCAGCCAACTGGGTCTGTTTTTAAAATTAAGTTTGAAATGGGTCTTTTTTTGAGAATAAAATTCAAAACAGGTCGGTTTTGAAAATTTGTCCTCAATAGAAATTGTTGATATTGGAAATTTGAAATGGTTGGTTGTTAACTATGAAGCTTGATATAGTTGATTTGAGCACCACTGATTATGTGGAAACTAGGAAACATCATTTGAAGAGGTGCTGTTAGGGTGCATTTAGTTTATAAGATGTTTAACTCTCTCCCGGCGGCGTCGATATTGTAGTGTTAGTCAGAGACTAGACTAGTGTGATGCTAGTCTTCGAAGGGTGCTGGGAATGCAGAAGCGTGGGTTGTGTGAGAGTCCATTTAGTCCCACATTGACCAAATGAGGAGTCAATTGTGCATTTATAAGAGATTTGGGTTCCCTTTTTCTAAGAACTAGCTTTTTGAGGTGAGTTCTCCTTGGCATCAGACAAAGCACCATCAATCCTATAGAAAAACATCACCTTGAAGGGGCGACCTAGTTTGTTTGGAAAGAACAAGTAGACTTACACAAGTAGGAAAGGAGCAAAGAGTCGGAGGAATCTTTTGTTTCTCAAATAGACACCACTTATTGGTGGAGTCAAATCTCCAAGAATTTGTAAGAATATTAGCCTTTTAAGGTTCAATCAAGGGCTCAGCTGAAAAGAAGAGACGGCCATCTTAATGTAACCTTTGTAGCGTTAGGTCCAGAGGAGATGGAAGACATGGAAGACAGAGTTAGATCCATATGAGCTACCAGGAGATAGACTAGTGATAAAACCCACCTTGCTAAGTCACATTAGAATTGGTGGATGGTGAACCCCACTGTTCGTGTATCTTGGTAGGTCATTGTGGAAAATGAGGTGTTAGCTCATATTCATATCTCCTCACACACCCATGATTAATGTTTCCTATTTTCTTGCCATTCTGTGTTATCTGCATGTATATTTTACTCTTTCCATGCTAGGCTTACCATCCAAGACTTGAAAATTTGGCTAGTTTATTTTACAATTGACTGGCGGATTGGCCAAACTTGTATAATTGTTAAATCCTACTGTTTATAATTGAAAGTAGAATTCCAAAGTCATAATTTAGCTATATGATTGTTTGGTGGAAAATTTGCAGTAAATAAAATGAAAGAAATTTGATTTGTATTCCCTCGATCTCAATTACAATTGGATTTTCTGATTACAAAAGAGAGGAGAATGATTTGGATTCTCCCATTTGTTTAATTCTGGGTTCTTCACGGTGGCGATGAGATGCTTCCCTCGAGTGTTCGTGTCGAGTTTGCTTCTCGTTGACGATCCGAACGTCTTGATTTACTGAAACGTGGTCTTCTCCTCACGATTTGACGTTGTGGAGAACTTGCGTGGTAAGTTTTAGAACTCTGAACGAGTTTGAAACTCTATGAAAGAGTTGATTTAACCGAAATCGGTCTATAAGCCAAGGATGAAGAAAGCTCCTGTTGCTGATTTTCAAAGCTCCAGCAATTCTCCCCAAGATCTCTTCTTTGCTGCCAAAGAGAAGGCTCCAACTCCAGGATCCGAACTACGCTGATTTCTTAGTTATTTATAAGGGATTAAGGGGTGTAACTGTCCCCTTAATTCGCTCCTAAGTGGGGCTAATGGGATGTAACCGTTTCTTAAATCACTCTTGAGTGGAGTTATGATCCCCTCAGATCGTGGGAAACGGTTTTGAAACCGTTCAGCTCGTGTTTGAATGAGTCAAACATAAAATTCGCGTTCTGATGTGAATTCTGCGTTCAAACGCGGTGTCTGGAAGCTTGAACGCAGTGTCTGAAAGCTCGAACGCAGCGGCTGGAAGCTCATTTGGCTGTTTGTTGGAAGCTGCGTTTGGCAGCGGATGAAAGCTGCGTTGGCAGCTTTCGGAGGTTGCGTTTGCGGCCGAACATGAGCTGCGTTGACAGCTGGATCTGAGCTGCGTTTGCAGCGTCTGGAGCTGAATGTGAGCTGCGTTTGCAGCCAGGTTTGACCTGCGTCCGCGGTCGAATTGGTGTTGCGTCTTGATGATGGTACGCGGGGAGGACTTTCACGTCTTGGTTTGAAGAGACCGTCGATTTGTAGTCTCTTTCTGTCAGAGCGTTGCAAAGATCGTTGTTTTGTTATCTTTGTTTTAACTCTTTGATATGTGAGAGTCGTCAGATTGTAACTCTAGATGCTGATTATGAAGGTTGTTGATTAGAGCTTTCATCAGTTATTGTGAAGGTCGTCATATTGTAACCTTCATCGATCTACGTGAAAGTCTTCAAATTGTAACCTTCTGGAAGTCGTCAGATTGTAACTTTCATCATCGGTGTTAATAAGCTATCTGTAGTAATTTTTAGACAGCCTACAATGATGTATATTTTCTGTTTCCTTATTATTCAGTATTATGCATATATTTTGGCCTATTGTGCCCATGTGAATGTTAACCCTTCCAGACTTGAAGTTTACTGCATTTTATAATTGACTAGTTTGATTGGCAAAACTCGTATTTGCAGATCCAACTTGTTAGGATTGAATGTAGAGTTCCAGAGTATGGTTGGACCACACAGAAGGTCTTTCATTTGCTCAACTTTGTTGTGAATGCTGGTATGTAACCCTTTTTCAGGCCACCTTTTATCATTCACATAGTTAGATTTAATCTTTTCTTAATTCCTGGCGATATTTGCAGTTCGCGCAGTTGTCTTTGTGTTCCGTCGAAATGTTCAGCACATTAAACCTGAGGTCTGACTACTTACTATTTCTTTGCTTATATGGAGTGTCCTTCTTCATTAGTATTATTATTTCAGCAGTTTTTTCCCCTTACTGTCCAGATCTTTCAGCACATTATTCTTGATATGCCAAGCCTGCTTTTCTTCACGAGTTATGCCTTATTGGTATTGTTTTGGGCTGAAATATACTATCAGGTAAATGTCATTGTAGTTTAATCTGTTACTTCAGTTACTGTTCCTTTGATTTGTGGTTTTTGATGTTTGCTTAACTTACTATTCTTGAATTGCAATGTTTGACAGGCGCGTGCGGTGTCGACAGATGGTCTTAGACCAACCTTCTATATGATTAATTGCGTGGTGTATGCTATACAGGTAATCTTGCTATGAGAAGCAGCTCTCCTGTGCTGGATACATGTGAGCTGCTTTTAGAAATAAAAGTTGAGCTTTCATGCATATATAATCTCCAAGAGATGTCTACATTTTTTCTTCTTTTTGGCACTGTACCAATGACAGACAAAATGCTATGAGAAAAGATATATATGATTATTATGACTGTCATCAAGATTCCTTATACATTATCGTGTTCAATCATCAGTAAAGTAAGCTGTATGAGATGAATTGTAAATTCTAAGTCATATTGATCTCATAAACGAGAGCACTTTAGCTACTCCGCCACGAATACCAGATCCATTTTTTAAAAACCCAGGTAGATGTGACCCTCTCCTTATAGGAGTAAGGGATGTAGAATACAGTCATTTGTGGGGAGGCATTTCTTTTTGACATTTATGCCCAAGAACTTGCAGAGTAGTTAAATCTCAAAGTAACCTGCTCCTAAGTTGTACTTATTCCCTATTTAATGTCCTTAGTGCATGATTTGTTATTTCAACCTTTATGAGAGCCTGAGTTATTACTTTGAAGTTTGATCCAAGTTTCCTACAAGCTTTTGGTAGTCCTGTCTGGTTAATCGTATTTTAATGTTGTAGTTCTTTCAGAAAATAAACGTGAGGCGACATTTGCACTCGAGAGTCTAGATCATTCTTACAGTGGTCTGAAGTGCTCATATTTACTAAAATAGTACTTCATTATAAGCGAAAGCACAACTTTTCTCCATCTTTAGCCGAAATCAAACTGCATTGGGAAAGGGAAGTATTATTTACTAAAATAATACTTAATTATATTTCTAGATGTGTTTATTATTTTCTTTTGAGAAAAGGCCTCTATATTGGGAAAGGGAAGATTACAAAAGAAGAGGAAGACATCCCCGAAAAAGGAGAAAAAGCCTTTATATTTGTAGACGGAAGTCCCCCTAAAAAGAACTCACCTAAAGAGGACAATTACTGTCTTATTACCTATGATATGTGGCACACTTTCCCTTGATAAAAATTTAGTGCATCTGACACTCCTAGATATGACACTTGACGACATCTGTGTCCAACGAATTGGAAATTTGTAAACTGCTATTTACCTCAAATTATACACAAGATGGAATATGCTGTGCTTCTTTTGAAAACAGTAATTATTGTATTTATCCTTTTACTAAAATTATTGTATTTCACATGTTAATATCAATAAACACACATACTTATTCCAACAAGATACTTATATACTATAAATTCAGATGAAATATAAATGTTAACAGTGTTCTTCTGTCTAGATGTTGGATACTTGCCCAAACACCCATATCTGTTTTGGAGCACGATATTCGTGACAAGGCACCACCGTCGTGCTCCTATCCACTAATTATGGCTGAGAAAGAAATCATAAATTGATTCTCTTGCCCAAGCTGAAGTTGTTGCACAATAAGGAATACCCTTCTGTACGTTTTAATTAACAAAAGCGTAGCCTACTGAATATGGAGGTTCAAACCCATAATTTCCAGCAGGTAAAGAAAAGGGTACCTACGCTGAAGTCACTCTGCACTTGTGGAGAAGTTTGGTAACATGTCAATCTTTCATGGAGTTTATGCATGGCGGGGATCACTGTATAATGTATAGTTATTTGTATAATGTATAGTTATTGGTATAATGGTTTATACTACAATTGCATATGATAAATATCTAAAGTAGCATGTATTTGGCAAATTGGCATTGCGACGAATCAAGTTTTGAAATACTATGGGAGGCATAAATGCTTTCAAGTTTATGAAGTTTGTAGTCAATGGTTTGTTAGAGGTCCAAAAGTTGCTTGCTATGCACAAAAGATTTTATTTATTATTCTTGTAGTTTTGTCAAATCGAATCTATTAATTGCAACTATTTCAAGTTGTTCTGTTTATGCCCTGATAGGGTAGTCACTTTTTATTCTTTCGTTTTCTTATAGGTAGTCCTGTGGATACTTTTATGGTGGAAGCCTGTTCAAGTTATGCTCGTCATATCAAAGATTTACTTTGCAGGTGCAGTTTAAATTTACATGATAACCCTGATTCTAATGTGGAATATGGATTCAAATTTGTGGGTTATTCTTACATTGAATGAATTCTGGCAGGTGTCTCATTGTTTGCTGCCCTTGGCTTTCTTCTCTATGGTGGGAGGTGAGCTGGTGCTTTGTGTCTTTATATTGTCTGTGGGTGGTCACACACACATTGCTTGATTCAAGGTGGCCCCTTCTGTATCCATTTTTTGGTCATTTGGCGAGCTAAAATAATTATAAGCTTGAGCCACTTTAATCTAATCCCCCCCCCCTCCCTCCTTTGCGACCATTTAGGTTTTCCTGCAAACTTAAGTGCTTCATAGCTCCATGTCCTCAATTTGTTCTAGCAGACATTTCCTTTTTATTTCATTTCAAAGTTTTCTAAAATATCTAGTATTCAAATCTTTCTATTCCAGCCATGGGAACAATTGCGTATGTGTTTCACAAGATATGCAAGGTGTGGATTTATTTATAATTGGATAATTGTCTCAACTTATAAATTTGGTTGTTGCTAGAAATCCCGAAGATATTTATGAGAAGCGTATTTAAAAGATGTCTACTGAGTGACATTTTCACAAAAAATTGATATGCTTTCTGAACAATCTAGATCTTGTTTAGGAGCAATTCATGTGTCATGAAGTAGCCGATGAGGAATGCTGTGGTTAGTGCATTCCCTTTCTTTTTCGGCTTTAAAACCATGTTGCCTCACATATATCCATACTCATACCATCAAGTATAAGTCAATAGGTTTGCCCTGACAGATTCTTACTGTGATTTTCTCCTGTCAAAAGATTATGGTTTCCCTCTGGCGTTCCAAGATTTTATATATCATTTCGAGATTCTTGTATGATCTCTATTCACAGTTTTGATTCTTCTGATAGGCTTGCTTCTAGATCTTTTACCATGCATCCACGTGTACAATCCCCCTGTCCTTGTCTTCCCAAACTACCTTGATTGATCAATATGGCTTCTCTTAACATCTTAACATTTCGTATCGTTCCGATTCCACATTGGACAGATGTTATATCTTAGATTAGTTTATAATGTTACTATGTAAGTATCGTATACCTGATGGAGATTCTTTCATGTTTATAGGTTATTTCTGATGTTGCGACGCTTCCCGGTTGAATCTAAAGGGAGAAGAAAAAAGTTACAGGAGGTACTTGTTCCGCATGTTTGTGCATGCACATGCTTGTTTTTTGTTTGTTAGTTTATGATTGTGCATTGATATGTCTTGTTCTTACTAGGTTGGTTATGTCACTACGATATGCTTTTCCTGCTTTCTGGTGAGATGCATAATGGTAAGCATGGTTTCTGTTGCTTATCTGGTATTACCATTCGCCTCTGCATGTCAGCCCTTTCTGGTTGACACCTTCATCACTAACTCTGTTCTTTGTTGCGTAGATGTTCTTCAATGCATTTGATAAAGCGGCAAATCTTGATGTTCTGAACCATCCGATTCTCAACTTCTTGTTTTACATGGTATCGCTCACACCTTGTTTCCACATCGTGTGAAACTTCAATATAATTTTTACACCACAATGCTCAGGAATCATTCGACTCCAGTTATCAATTGACATTGATATTATTTAAAACAGAATGTACTCTGAATCACTATTGCCTTAATTGCAAAAATCCCATGTTTTCGCTAACGTTTCATATTCATTCTTGCAGCTGGTGGAAATTCTTCCCTCATCTCTAGTTCTGTTCATTTTAAGGAAGCTACCCCCTAAGCGCGGCATCACACAGTATCATCCAATTCATTGATTCAGCAAAAACAAAGCTGATGTGCTCCTCTTTCTTCTAAATGCATAATGATATCCCACGCTTGATGTTACATATTATTACAAGGAAAACCTGAATGCAAAATGGTATCGGGTTGTTCTACCAGATGCTGTAGATGCGGAAAAGTTGTGTATAATATTTTCCTCTGATAACAACACTAATCATGTTTACGGTCTGTGCTGTAGATGCGGAAAAGTTGTGTATAATATTTTCCTCTGATAACAACACTAATCATGTTTACGGTCTGTAAAATATCTTCTAATTGGATAATAATGTTATTTTCCTCTGATAACAACACTAATCATGTTTACGGTCTGTAAAATATCTTCTAATTGGATAATAATGTTGGGGCAGTTGTTTACGGTATATTTATAGTGTACGTAAATAAATACGAAAGATTTGTGATGAACCTGCGGCTGGATTAAATTCAAGCATGCATACTGACAATCATGAGCAAATACTGTGGAGGATTTAGGGAAAGTTTGATGATCTACATACCTATCAGCCAGCAACAGAGGAGGATTAGCATGAGGAACGGATATCGAGATAAGATGTTAGGGGATCATGAAAACTTTAGTACTTATAAACCTGCTGTCTACTGGAAACTAACAGTCTTTGATTTTGGCTTGAATGTTAGGTATAGCCTACTGGTCCTTTTGCAGGTCTAATATTGTAGTTGTGAAATGTTACGTATTTTTTTCTTAGATGATTGGAGGTGAGTATAACATTGTAAAATGTTACATTTCCACCAAAGTAGCTGTAAAAAAATCGTTTTGGACTTTGAAATTGATTGAGCTATGGATTCCTTTGAACTTGGGTTTTTGTCATAGTACCACACATGAACTTGGGTTATATCATTATATGGTGTTAATTAAGTTTTGTTCATTTAAATTGTTTACAATTCAAATTCATGTTGTCGGTCAAGCACTAGAACTACCTATAACTCTAAAATCTTTGTTACTCTTTTAAGTTTTTTTTGCCTCCTGTCAAATTCTACTTTCAACTAGTGTGAACACCGTGCAACATATTTTTCTTCCCGCTGCAGTAATTCCTGTTTTAATTGCTATAGTAAATTTTTTGAATTGCTACAGTATCCAATCTGTTTTAATATTCTGTGTGCTCCCATAATATTTCTTTCAAAAAAAAACCAGCGCGGCCAGTTTCAAGATTGCTACAGTAAATGCTACTGTAGCATAGAATCTTGGGTTCTCCTATTTATATAGAGGAGTAGATTCAAAGGTTAAGATCCACATCTCAAAATAAAAAATCGTATAGGAAAATAACAACAATGAAGGAGAAATATATTGTCCCTTAAAATATTGAAATATACGTTAAAAACCAGTTTTTTTTTAAAATTTTTATCCTTTCTCAATTTTCCAATATTAGTTGTTTCGGGTCGGGTCCGGCGATACCCGAAACAAACAAAAAACCCTCATACTAAAACCAAGTACTCTCTCCCTCTCTCTCATCGTTCTCAAAACCCTAATCTCTTCCTCCTCCTCAAAGCGGCAAATCTTCGATCCGGCGCAGGTTAGCTCCTCTCCTCTCTTTATACCTCACCACCGTTCGATCTTGAACAAGTCCTTATCGTTTCTTCATTCGAGCCGAGTTTGCTCGGAGTAATTCGAGCTAGATTTGGAATTTTTTTAAAGATTTGATTATACTTTCGCCTTTTAAACTATCGAACAAGTTAGGATTTTAGAAAGATTCATCCTATTGAATTGGAATCAGTTGTCATGAGAAATTCATAACTTAACGTGAAAATAAATAACCTTTTTTTTGTAAATTTATTGAAATATCCAGAGTCATGTGTTTGCGTATGTTATTATCAAAGTACGGTATATTTTATTTGTTGAATCCATCTAATTCAGTCTTTTGATAGACTGATGGTAAAATGAAGAGAAAAATGTGGACTTGCTGGTTTCTTTTTAATGTGGGTTTATGAGCAAACAAGCTCAAAAGTTGAGTTTGTTTGAGTGAAATCTGAAACAAGCTGTGAATGATGGGGAAAGATCTCACGTCATTAATCACCTCGCCCGCATGAACCGTGAAGAAAAATAGACAGATGGAAAATCTTTACTTGTTGTGTTGTTGACTTGCAAGTCTCATCAGTACAAAGTGTTTATAGCTAGGTTGTATTTCACAACAAAGACAAAAGTCTTGCTTATGGGTGTTCATTTGCCAACCTTAGTAAATTTCTAATTTGGTCCATTTGACGTACATTTCTGGCACCATTATTATTGTTTGACTCTCATCATTGAGCGATACACTTTTGGTGACATGCAGATGGATAGGGAGAGACTCATCAAAATGGCAGGTGCTGTTCGCACCGGTGGGAAGGGTAGTATGCGCAGGTACTGCATTATATTTAGTTCACTTCCATGAGAAATTGTACGAACTTTCTTGATATAAAAAATGTTGTTATCGATGTTGAATGAGTCTTTCCCCCCTTGGGGATATTACTTAAAGTTAGGAAGTTAAATATCTGAAAGTTAATTGTCTGAACTCTCTCGATATCAAAAATGCTTTGGTGCAATACAGTTTTAAGGTTGCAGGTGTTTTTCTATGAGTGGAAGAACACTTAGTTCAGAAAAGAGGAAAAGAATGTCTCTATTCTGACCTCATATTAAGATAGAACTAAGTTTTAACATCTGAATTCTATGTCTACTCCAAGAAAGAGAAAAATGCTTGGCACAAACACTACTAATACTGAATCTAGGGCATGAAACTATCATGTCTCGAATATTTAATCGTTTTTATTTTATTTAGTGAATGTACTAGTTTATGATTTCACTTGTTTAATTCTCTCTGTTCTTTTAATGGTTTCTCGATGGATTTTAATCAGAAAGAAGAAGGCAGTTCACAAAACTACTAGTACAGATGATAAAAGGCTTCAGAGCACCTTGAAAAGAGTGGGGGTAAACAGCATCCCTGCTATTGATGAAGTCAACATTTTTAAGGATGATTCTGTTATCCAATTTGTGAATCCCAAAGGTAACGTAAGAAATCACATATGTATAGATATAATGCCCTTTGAATGAATTATTGCTCTACTGACTGCAATTTGTCTTTTCATTCAGTGCAAGCTTCAATTGCAGCCAACACATGGGTGGTCAGTGGTGCTTCACAGACAAAAAGTACTCTCATCTCCTAAACATGCATTGAAAAAAAAAATATATATATATATAAACAGTTCCGAGTATGTAAAAGAAACTACACTATGGTGAAGCTATGATGTTTTGTTTCTCTCATAGTTTTAGTTCTCACCTGACAATTAGTTTAAACTGTTAGCTAGTTTTTGATGTAAGCAGCACCTTACCAGCTGTATATACTTATCTTCTGTTCATAAGTTATTTTATGAACAAAATTTCTATTGTTCTTTGGTTTAGTTATTTGCATTTGCTTTCTTATAAGCTGACATGATTGCAATTGCCAATAACAGGATTGCAGGATATTTTACCTTCGATTTTCAACCAGCTAGGTACCTTCTTCTCTTTAAGTGCATTATTGTCATTCTAATTTGATGGTCAGTAAAAATTAGTTCCTGCATCATATTTCTAATAATGGGCTAAACCAAACTCTGCTATTGCCCTCAAACTTTTTAAATCGTGTTGTCTTGTGGCATTTGACAATTCTTTTGAGGGTAAATTTCGTAAAACTCCCATGAAAATTGGTGGATTTTACACAAAACTCCCATGAGAATGCTACCATAAAGACATAAACTTTTAAAACCGCAAAAGAAAACATTCATGTCTTTGATAAAAGGTCAACCTGTCCTTACTGATATCGGTCAACTCACCAAGTTAGTAAGGATGAGGGCAAAACTGCCTCGCATGTGACAACTTACCTTAACTGCCACTAGACATGATAGTTTAGTGAAAAATTGTAACACCCAAAGTTCATTGTAGTTTTGTGAAATTTATCCTTCTTTTTTAAGGGAAAAAGAAATGAAATGTTGGGTATTGATTGACAATTTTCTTTCCAGGCCCTGATAACTTAGAAAACTTGAAGAAGCTTGCAGCACAGTTTCAAAAGCAGGGGTCTGGTGCTGATGCTGCTGGTGCTGGTGCTGGTGCTGGTGCTGGTGCTGGTGCAGTTCAGGAGGACGATGATGATGTCCCTGATCTTGTCCCTGGAGAAACTTTTGAAGCTGCTGCTGAGGAAAAGCCGGCTTCTGAGAAAAAACCGACTGCCTAGTGCGTTTCGGTACAATTTTCCCCCTTCACCTCTTCTTGTTTTTGTTATTGTTACTAGTTTTGTGGCACATTTGAAAGAGATCTCTTGTAGTTCAGTTAGAGACGCAATTTGAGACCTTATCCTATTCTGTCAACCTGTGTGTATCAGATTTATTTGAGTTGGTGAAATGGCATAACTTTATGTTCTCACTGCTTTCTTATATCGGCAAATATATCTTGTAAACTTGCTGCTGATTTTTTGCTGCATATGTTGTGCATTATTCTTTTGGCAAGAAGATCGACGCCCAAGTTTACTTTGTTTCTTATCATTTATAGAAACGGTTTCCAAATCATTTAAAGGAAAACTTAAGGAGAGGTTTAGATGGTTGGCTTGTTTTCTTTCTTCACTTCAATAAGTTTTTACTTAGAATTCTTTCATCTAATAAAGGGATTGTCTTGCACTTGACCAAATTCAATCGGGGATTTTATTCAATAGGTTCTGGATAATCGTAGTCAACACAATGGTAAGTTATGCTGATCATTCTTTTTCGTCTATATGCTTTGTGTACGTGTATGCGAACATATGATCCAAATGAATATTCTTATCTATTAATATCTTAAGAAAGACCAAGGTTCTACCTGCTACATGCTAAGATGAGCCAGGGGAGAAAACTTTAGTTCCTCTCCCGTTGTGGGAAACTGCCCAACGACATCATTTGATGATATTGGGGAACAATTGAGACCAGGTGGTCCGTTAAAAAGTTAGGCAGAAGATCAACAAAGCCACACATTATTTGGTTAATTTAATCTAGCTCTAAATATACTTTACACTGTCAATATGTTAATAGAGAGTCGGATTGGATTATTTGTATCTGTTTATATTACTATTTGCAAGACGTTTTTCTAGTTATTATGCGCAGAAATGTTGTTCGTATAAGCATGTCTTTAATTTTCTTTGAATTATGAGTATCTTGAATAAATTTTTTTTATTGCTAGAGATATTTGTAATGTATTCCGCGACTTTATTCAGAAAGAAATGGTTTAATTGCTCTATTATTATTATTATTTTTTTTTTTAACTGTTGGCTATTGTTGCTTTTTCGCTGAACCATGCTCTATGAGATTGAGAATAATGATTTCTAGTGCCACAATTTTAGCGTATCATGCTTTATAAATGAGTAGGGATTGGGAATATCCCTTAGCATGGACTATAGCGGTTTAATTATCTTTGTTTTTCGGCGAAGTAGCAGTTATATACCCAATCGATTCATCTACTTTTCACTTTTATATATATACCCTCCCTTGTATTTGGTAGCAAGTAAATACTCTCGATTTTTTAAACTTGAACTCATATTCCCTCACTTGTATTTGTTTGCACTTATATACCCTAAACTTATTAAATCCTGCACTTACATGCACTAAAATTTTAAAAACTTGTATTCAGATATCTCTAGTTTTTATGACTTGCACTCAAATACACTCAAGTTTGCATAATTGAGGGTATCTATTTGTAAGTTTTAAAAACTTTAGGGTATTTAAGTGCTAGTTGTAAAAACTTTAGGGTATTTAAGTGCCCTCAAAAAAAAAGTGAGGGCATATAAATGCAAGTTTAGAAAATTTTAGGGTGTTTTTGGCTACAAATACAAGTTGGGGGTTTTATAAGTGAGAAGTAGGTGAAAGGATAGGGGTATATAAGCTCTATTTAGCCTTGTTTGTCTTCATTTGTGTATGTATTTCTCCTTGCGCTCTTCCATGTGTTTGATCCTTGACATTCGATGAAAACTGCCATCGCCATGCAATTAGGATGTGCGCGTTAACTACGGCCATTTTCTTCATTCGATGGGGGCCAGAATCAAGAGCAAAATAGAAGCAAAACGAAATAAGATTTGTTAAGGGCGGCAACTAGAACTCTTAGGATCCGTCTGGCAATTAGTGCATCACGGGACATGGAGGCGACACCTCACCTGTCCCACTCAATGTCTTCTATTTTGAGGTCCTTGTAGCAGCACTCTTTTAGGAATAGAACTCTCAGTTCAATCTCACGGGCGTGCCGCGTGGCACGAATTGTTGCTGAGAGTCCAGCATCAATCAAACGCGCTCAGCTTCTACTTGAAACGGACGGAGTGACCGAATCAATAAAATGGTACTCCGATGACATAGCAGTACAAGCATGACCAAAATAGAGGACTGCTCAAATATTGCCTATCTAATAATAATGTTGTAGTCCAAATTACAAATTATCCAAATATGAAATTCCTCTGCTTCAACTTAAATTATTCCTTCCCCTTTTGATCAAGTGTTTTTAAAAAAAAAAAAAAACCCTTCTGTTGGATGCATTATGTGGATTTTAATTGATACAAAATTACGTTTCAGCAGGTTAAAAGATGTGCAGCGGTTACTAATGTTTTTCTTCTTTAATAGCAAAACATTTAATTACATTTACGACTTGCTGACGTGTTCATGCATTTTTGCAGCATTATATGTTTTATATGGCTAAAATTGCTTGACATCTCAAGCACAATCAATCAAACGTTCACGCATAAAAAAAAAAAGAAAAAAGAAAAAAGAAAAAAAAAAGAAAAACAGACAATACCAAACTTTAATTACACATTAAACATTGATAAGTAGGGAAGTAGGGGTGTTCATTCGGGCCCAAGGCCCGAGCCCAGCTCGGGTCCGGGACAAGCCCGGAAAACCCAGGTCGATCTGGCTCTGCCCCAACGGCCTATTGTCCACTTAAGTTGACATAAATTC